GGCTTTGTTTGTTCGGTTATTTCTAGTTTGTATTAGTAGTTCTGGGGTGCGGTAAAATATTTGTCCTTCGCAGTTTTCCGTTGACTTTCTCCTCCCTGCACCTTTCACTGCCAGTTAAGCACTTTTTACATGTTATATATACTGTACGTTGTTATTTTCCCCTAGATTAAATAGTCTATATCACACTGGGTACAATTTAATCTGGATTCCTGTTCACAAATTGGTATCTCTATGCAGTCATATTCGCCTGAGTATATTTCGCCAGGTTGTACAGAATATTAGCACATAGGCCCCTTTTTTCTTTTGTCTGCATATCTATGTCTAGTTCCCTTATGCGGTGCTCACTTTGCTCTCCTATCATATCATATGTTGTAGGTGTGTGTGTATATATATATATATATATATATATTGTATATCAATTATTAACATTCTTACTGGAGGAAACCAAGAACAACGGTGTTCTTCCAGCAACCTTGTCTCAGTTATTTGTCTATTTATGCTCATTTTGTTGTTAAACACATATATTTAGGCCTCAATCTGTCTTTTACGGTTGAGCCTCTCTTTGCCAATTGACAACTAGCAGGGATTCACCTGTCATGGGATAGTTAAGTTCTTCGTCACTGGCACTAGCTAGGGAGCCAGTTCTATATACGGGATACCATCTTTGGTTTTCATATATTTTATGGTCAAGTACAAGACACCTTGTCATCTATCCTGTCTACCCTCCATTCACTTAACGAGAGGATGACCAAGATAGAAGCCATCATACCTACTACCAGAAGCACACCTGCCGTTCTAGGCTCCACACCTGCACCCTCAAAGACCCAGGGTAGTGCCATCACTATTGCACCCACACACCCCACTTCACAAATCATTGCCCCTGCACTCTCTCTGTTCCCACTGCCATTAAGAAAGACATTCTGGATGGCAAGGATGTCAGCCTAGTCCCTTTTCTCATTGCTTCGCAGGACGTTCTGGAAAATAGAGCCTTTAATTACAGAGATATTTCTGTGGTCCTCAAAACCAGGGATCCTAGTCTCAATAACAAACTATCCATCCCCAAATTCATTCTCAGCTTTGGGTCATACAGCGATGTCATTTGATCTGTATACCCAGTGGCGTACATACCGCAGTCGCAGGCACTCCAGGAGACCCCTGCGACCAGGTACCTGCCGCCATATGTTGTGGCCCCGGCTGCGCAGTATGAACGGGCCCATCGGTTGGCCCGTGCTGTTAGGGCCATCCGATGGAAATGAATATCATCATCAGAGTGGGGCCGGTAACAGCGCGACTGGGCCAACTCTGATGTCAGGCGGTGGGAGGAAGTGACTGCTGCGGTCACTCCTCCCAGCAACGACCAGGAGCCGCACGGGAGGAAGGAGAGGGAGTCAGAGTTATGAGCCACTGGAGCCCAGGGAAGTTGCCCTCCTGCACCTAAAAGGTAGGTAATAGAAGGGTGACTAAAATATTTTGCATGTTTGTGTATGTGTGTGTCTATGTATGTATCTGTATTTGTGTGTGTGTGTCTATGTATGTGTCTGTATTTATGTATGTGTGTCTGTATGTATGTGTCTATGTCTGTATGTGTGTCTGTGTGTATCTCTATGGGGGGGTGGCGGGGTGGCGGTGGGGCTGATGGGGGTCCCCATGTATTGTGTGTACGGCACTGTGTATACCCTCAGAGGTGTGAAGAGTTCGACCTCTATGTACACAAGGTGGTGGACCTGGGGCACAAGTATAGGGGTTTTGCCTTCTACAACTATCACAGGTCATCTAAAGCAGTAGCAGTTCTGGCCCAGTTCAACAACCGTATCGATTGGAGTAAGTTGGACACAGTGTTGTTCTGAAGGCATTTTGCCGGCCTGAGACCCTCATCGTGCGCTATGTTCCTCCACCACTCAATGCTCCAATTTGTGTCCCTGCGAAGAAGATCCCTCCACGTCCCATACCTCCACTACCCCCTCTGTCGGTTAGGACAGGGGCCAAAGAGGAAAGCTAGGCAGACCAGTCATATTCCTGGGCAAGGCGCAAGTGTGCAATAATTTCAACACGGATTTGCAGCTACAACGCCTTAAAGTTGTTGCACATTTGCTCCATCTGCTTTAGGGCACATACAAAAGCCATGTGCCCCTCTAAGCTATTCCCTAAGAAATTGCTGACGGATATTAACATCGACAATCTTGATTATCACTTGCGCACCCACCCCTCTCCCCACCTGGTACAATTATTGATTTCTGTTTTTTCCAATGGTTTTCATTCAGGGCTAATGGCACTCCCCACAGGCATTCTAGAATGTACAAACTTACTTTCAGCCACAAACGACCCAACTGCAGTTGATGAATTGCTATGGAAGGGGACCACATCAGGTTTTATGATTGGTCCCTTTCCGCACCCTCCTTTTTAACTTGGCGGACAAACCCTATTGGAGTGGTTACCAATAGCACCTCTAATAAAAAATGTCTAATCATCATTTTGTCCACGCCTCATTCTTTTCACAACCCTAGTTTAAATTCACTGATACTGGCTGAAGAATTTTCTCTCCACTACTCCACCGTGGATAATGATATACAAGCCATTCTACTGGCCGGTGTTCATGTCTGTGACGCGTTCAAACTGCTGCCTATCCATCCGTCGCTCTGGCATATCCATGGCATTAAATGGAGGAAAAATGATTATTTCAACACCAGACTCACTTTTAGCTCCAGGAGCAGCCTGTTCAACATCTTTGCTGCTCCTGAATTGGGTAAAATATCCCACGGTCATACACTATTTGGATGATTTCTTACTGGTCGAGGAAGGTTCCTACACTCCTGAGCACCACAGCACTATTTTCTACACTAGGTGTCTGATTGTCCACTGACAAAACGTTAGGCCCCAGAACAGAGTTGGTGTTCTTGGGTATCTCACTGTACTGTGTCAATGCAGGCATGCCTCCCCGATATGAAATTGGTACGCATTAGGCAAGAATTTAACTAGTTCCTTCAAAAAGGTTCTGGTACATTGAGAGATCTTCAGTCCTTACTGGGATACTTTTATTTTGCGGTGCGTATCATTCCACAGGGGAGATAAATTATCTCCAGGTTGCTCTGCCTCCTGCTCGATGTGCCTGATGATGGCATCATAGTGCTCAATCCCCAAGCCGTAGCCTATCTGCTTATGTGGAGGCAGTTCCTTGCCAAGTGGAATGGTGTTTCCATGTTCATTCCCCCACTGACCGACCACTCCCCCGTAATTTTTACTGACGCGGCAGCACACACTGGGTTTGCGGCAATCTTTGGTAGCCACTGGTTCAGGGATGTTTGGCCCCAAAAGGCACTTACTTTACCGGTCTTCAAGGAAACCTCAGCTCTTTTTGAGATTCACTTGGGGTCACCTGTGGGCCGGTAAAGCTGTTAAGTGTTTCTCGGATAATTTGTCGCCTTGCGAGAGTATCAATAAAGGGCACTCTTCCTCTTTGACCATTATACAACTGGTACGAAAATTGACTTGGCTCTACACCAAAATACTATTTTTCTTGGTGTGTGAACACATTCCGGGCATTCATAATACTGCAGCTGACGCTTTGTCCCGGTCTAATTTTCAGGGATTCCACATCCAGAATCCTGTCATTTCTCATTTCATGGTCTAACTGGATAATTGGACCACTCACGAGCACTCTCACGCAACGCACTGTCAGCTAACACAAAGACGGCATACGATAGGGCTTTGATAATCTGCAAATTTCGTGAGAAATTTCACGTACCAGATAATTACTCCATCGAGGCCATGGTGGCGTTTTCCCTCTTTTTGTCACCTACACCTTAAGTTAGCACATAACACCATCAAGTTATACCTCTCTGGAATACACCACCACATCCTCACTACCTTTCCCAATCACCCACCTTTTCTTTCCTCATGCCCCATCAAATTTAATTCTTAAAGGTATCAACAAGACAAATCAACCTCCTACTACCCATAGACGGACTCATATTCAGGAATTTATCTGACTTGGTGGACACTAATCCCTTTAATAGAGTAAAATGAAGGAGGTCCAGGCACTCCTTGGTTCTTCAAGACAGGTACTTTATTGTAACCACAGCAGCAATGTTTTGACCCAAGGGTCTTTATCATGCTTGATAAAGACCCTTGGGTCGAAACGTTGCTGCTGGGGCCCATTCACAAAAAAGGAGTAGTAAGGGGTCAGCACGCTAAGATGTACAGAAAATACTGCAGAAAATGAGGCAGCACACCTGAATAGTATGGCTCCCTCACAGGCCTTACAAGTAGACACAGCAGTAGAGGAAGTGAGAGGTAGGCGGCGACAATATATAAGTACTATAATCAGATAAATCACAATAGAGTATATAGGAGTATACAAGGTAAAAAGTAAAAATATATAACAAAAATAAAAAAAATAGAGAGTTCAGGAGAGTCTATTGAAAATTAGACGTAAAGCCAACAATAATTCAATGGATGGGAAGCCGCTCTATGAGGTAGGAGTGTGCACTTGAGCAGCTCAAGAAGAATATCGGTGAAGAACTTTGAACGCTAGAACCTCAAATATTAAAGGAACACTATAGTGTCAGGAATACAAACGTGTCATAACACTATTTAGGCCCACTCTCCTGCCTTTAAAAGGTGAGTTTACTGACCTATATTCCAATGCATATTTTACCCTCCTTAGCTGAGATCATCAAACTTGATGATCACAGTTATTCCAATGCAAGGCTATTGTGCATGCACAGCAAAATCCCAAGCTGCGTCTGTGGCGGCTAACTTGAGAGAAGAGGGGTCTTCACCACCAGAGATGTGCTTTCCCACTTGTGTGAGTAATGCTGAAGTATTCCTAAGCAGTAATCCAAACACGTATAGCCGTTCCCTACAATCACGAGATGAGGCTCTGTGTTGAGAGTGAAGCTGAACTGTTTTAATGGGAGCCACAACTGGCCTTATATACAAGTCCCCAATGCAAGGGGTCTCTTCTTACATATTCCAGGGGCAGAAAAAGCCCATAAATAATTACATTAACTCGCAGGTCCAGGACATTCATAACACGAACACCCCAAAATACATACTTAATGTAGTACCCCCTCATGTCCTATATACCCCGATAGCCTGGATCTGAGCGTCCAACTTATCCGAAATGCACTCAGACCCCACGAACACAGCCGAAACGCCACCTGGGCATAGTTCAGAACGACCGCACATGAGGGGTCTGCCCAAAAGAGTTCCAAGAGTTCAGGCTGAGCAGTTGGTCTCTTTTAGGAACACCAAATACACAAAAATCACAAACGGGACAATTCGTGCAGAACATTAATCATGTGCCCCACGTTCGGGAGTTTATTCCCAACGAGCACCGCTCTTCTAAGATGAATGGGCCCGAACATCCATGGAAGTGGAAGTCCTAGCGGTGTTCGCGCCAGCGAGTGCCCAATAATAGTTCCATACACTCGACGACCAAACACCACTGTAGGTGTTTGCGAAAACAAGATGGCCACCACCTCGTGTTGGTCCATACAAACGGCGTCCCCCCCGCCGACCATTTAGAGTGTTGGTAATTGCGGTTTGTGAAAGTGTAAAAAAGGTTAAGTGGGTCAATGAGCGGCACACGACTGTTCAAGGTGGTCTGATCCTTTGGTACTTTATTTGGTATATGAACCAAATGGGGCAATCCATTTGGTGATGTTCGTATACAATACCATACCATATAACACATACATTTAGGGACAGGGTGATCTGTCACAGTGCCAGTCAGCCTCTCCTCATAGAGGTGCATTGAATGAATGCATCTCTTTGAGTAGTGTCCAGCGTCTCCATGCAGAGCTGTGCAGCACGGACCCAGAAAGCACCTCTACTGGCCATCTGAATAACTGCCGCTTCCACTAGAGGTCTTTCTGGAACAGGAATTGTAACAGTTCTTCGATTATGTTCAGCCACGATCCCTCAAAGCAGAGGATTGGATAGGTTTGGTAACCATGGGAGTGGAAAGTATCGTTCTTCCTCCCCTGTGGCAGTTTGAGTTGCCCGGAATGAAAACAGCTGGTCCCCCTCCCCAGCGGCAGACGAAGCAACTGGGAGTGAAGACAGTTGGTCCCCCTACCCAGTGGCAGCTGGAATTACTGGAGAGGAGACAGCCGGTCTCCCTCCCCAGCAACAGCTGGAGCAATGGGGACTGATGAAAGCTGGTCTCCCTCACCAGCAGCAGCTAGAGTTACTGGGTATGGAGACAGTTGGCCCCACTACCTAGAAGCAGCTGGAGTTACTGGGAGTGGAGACAGTCAGTCTCTCTCCCAAGTGGCAGCTGGAGCAACCGGGAGTGGAGACAGTCAATCTTTGTGTCTAAAAATGAGGGTGAATTGATTATAGGGGACTGAATAAAATCACCACATGAAATGTCTATCCAATTGTGACGAGACCAATCTTGCCACTGGGCATTGGAGGAGCCTGGTTGCCTGCCTACTGCCTTTAGACTATGGCCCCATGGTGAAATGCTTGATTTTCCCCTGCGAAGACATGAAAGCCGGGTCATTCGGTGCGTGCCCTGTTTGAGCGGTGATACCCCAGATAGCTATGCCATGGAGCCCATTCGTTTAATGAAAGACTATGGGAAAGACTTTGGCTCCATGGCAATTGAACTGTATGTGTGTGCTCTGAGCGCCATTCAGTAATAATGTGCGCTCAGATCTGAGCTATCTGGGGATATGTTGAATGTACCTGTTTTGTGCAATGGCTGCACAGTTATATGTTTTTATGTGTTTTATTGTCTTTTGCTGCCATTTGTTTAATGGAGTTTTGCCTCTGTACTTGGAGATAATTGGATTACTTCCCAATTATCTCCTGGATAGAAGACTCTGTGGAACTGGTTTTGGGCAGAAAAGCCATGCTTCCTTTGGTCACAAAGGACTACGATCTATCTTTTGAACCACTGGACCAATTTGGTTTATTTATGTGAGTGTGATTGTGACGAAACCAACCTCACCACTGTACACTGGAGAAACCTGGTTGCTTGCCTGCTCCCTTTAGACTATGGCCCTGCAGTTCAGACCTGTTATTTTCCCTGCTGAAAGGTTTATTCATGCCTTTCTGCCAGGGTGTTCGGTAGATTCAATCTACCGAACAAACTACCGAACGATGGACCACCTGGGAACTGGAGTGTGCCGTCAATTGACCGTCCAGAAGCTGCGGTTAACCGCAGCTTAATTGATGAACGCTGGGAGGCCTTTGTTCGGTTGCCGAACACGTGGCAGCGGCCATTTTACCTCCCGAAAGGCCAGCGGTGTTCAGCGCCTAAACTATGGAACTGAAAACGGACACTTAATTGCGCGAACACTGCTGAGCCGCCAGCCTCCTTCCCTTCCCATTCAAGAGCGGAACCGAATGACTGTTCATTCGGTAGTTTAACCGGATGAACAGCATCACCCAGATAGCTAAGCCATGGATCCTGTTCATGTAACGAAAAGACTATGTGAAGGACTTTGGCTCCATGGCGATTGAACTGTATGTATGTGATCTGAGCGCCATTCGGTAATAATGTGCGCTCAGATCTGAGATATCTGGGGATATGTAGAACTTATATGTTTTATGTACTGAATGTAACTGTAAGTAATTTTATGTCTTTTACTGTTTGTTTTCTGCCATGTGGTTAATGGAGTTTTGCCTCTGTCTTTGGAGATAATTGAATTACTTCCCAATTATCTCCAGGGCAGAGAGGAGGGATTGTGATGCA